CTTCTCTGAGAAGATCAACTTTGCTGTCGACAAGGGCTGAAGTTCCGATCATAGGAGGCCACGCTGGAGAGACTATCATGCCTGTGTTCTCGCATGCTTTCCCCCCGCATAAACTCAGTGCTGACGCGGTCAGACAGCTGGACGAGCGCATACAAAACGCGGGAACGGAAGTTGTGGAGGCGAAGCAAGGGGCGGGGTCTGCCACGTTGTCGATGGCCTACGCTGCAGCTTGTTTCGCGGATAAGATCATTCACGCCCAGTCGGCATATGCCTTCATTAAGAAGCCGATGTGTGGGTTGGATTACTTCGCGACGAAGTGCAAGTTTGGAGATGACTGCGAGGTTGCTAAGGTGGAGGCGTTGCCTGAATTGAACGACTACGAGGAGACGAGGCTGCAGGCGGTTAAGGCTAAGCTTGTTCAAGATATCCAACGCGGTGTGGACTTTGTGAAGGAACACTATTCAAGCTAATTGAATACTTTTTGAAAATAGGGTATGTCCAAGCTCTCGACTTGAGCGTATTGCCAGTCGGGTTTGTCCGCTTTCCGTATCTTACCGAACGTTATTGAGTTCTGCCAGGTTCTTAGGGAATAAATCAAAGGGAGTCGTGGGTGATGCGCATAAACCTGTTTAGTGGCTAGGCATTAAAAGTCCATCGATTCTCTCTCCAGGTCCAGTTCTTTTTCACTGCAATGTGTGATTTCATCGGGGGTGTTCCATAGACCTCTCCTGAGTTCCAAGATCGAGTTTTACATGTGATATCTAATCCCGGGTGGGCTCTTGAAGGTCTATCGAACACGCCGCATGTTTTGCAGATCTGCGTTTTTGAGGAATGCACCGTGAAGAATCTTGCCAACTTGTTACGAATTCCATATGGGGACTCGGATTTCGCTATCATGGTCCTCTCAGTCAGCTCCTTTTCCTATCAGTGGTTGTATATCGTGTTCCTGGTCAATGGGTGGTATGCTTGAGTTTTGCGAGTTCGCGTGGTGGAGTGTTCTTCTCTTGAACTGGCTTTTCTAGGGAGTACCTTTCTACAGTTGTTTTGTGTCGTAAACCGACTGATTAACCAATGGTTATCACTCACTTGCGTTTATGGATGCATGCTGCCATACTCATCCTCGTGGAAGCCTCCTTTGGACGTTTTGCGCCACCCTGTGCATCTCTGTCGACTGACCTCACAGAGGAGTACACCGAGGCCCCAAGACTATTACCGGTGAGCTTATCGTTGAGACTTCGCAGGGGGATTGTCAGTACAGGCCTCTTCGATACCAACACATTTCGACTGGCGTGATGTTGACGGCGAAAATATGGTCACAACGGACCGAAGCCACTCTAACCCTGGGTAAATACTGCAATGACTTCCCTTGCTCATGGCTCGCTTGTCAGGTCATGTGCTGCTTGCTGGGCTTTCGCTTTGACCCACACACTCTCCGATAGGATCCGTATTCAGCGCAAGGCAGCCTTCCCCGAGGTCCGTCGCTCGTGCTCTTATTTCCTATCGAAGTTGTTCCTCTAGGTTAATCTGGCCGCCCAGCCCTTGTTGACTTGTGCCTATAAGGCAGGCAATGGTTGCCGTGGCGGACGGGTTCTCGATGCGGTCCGCTATGTGAGTTCCCGTCCTCGAGGAGATCGATCTGCACCATTTCTCTCAGATCAAAGAACATGGTATCACTGATGAAACTTGTTCACCTTATCTAGGGAGAGGCCGAGATTCCGGAGAGGTCTGTCGTGGAACGACTCTGTAGCCTGCGACGGGTTGTGTGCACGTGTTACGGTTTTCGTTATGTAGATGCGTCAACTGTGATGCAGATGGCTCGTGTAGTATTCCGAAAAACTATGCTACCTTCTATATCGATCAGTAAGTATCAATCGATTGATGGGCCGCGGAGCTTTACTGTTGGTGTCAGATACGGTCTAGTGAAGGGGGAGGCTAACATACAGTCGGAGGTGCTCACTCGTGGCCCTGTTGTTTGCCATATGCATGCTGATGAAACATTTCGTGCTAAGTGAGCAACGTATTGACGTAGTGTGAAGGTCAGAATTGGCCTGTCAGTTATCAATCTGGGCACATCTGGGACTTTGATTATTTAACCCAAGATGCAGAGGTTAACCACGCTGTGGAAATCGCTGGATGGGGACAGGAAGCTGATGGTAGACGATACTCCTTCCACAGTATATAACTGCTTCCTTAGGTACTCCATACTGGGTCGCCCGGTTCTCTTATGGTGAGCTCAGCTTTGTGTGCATACTCATCGTGACTGTGTTGTAGGTTCGGCGTGGGGTGATCATGGTTGGGCTAAGTTACAGCGCTCCCCGACTGGCCTCATAGAGAACAGTGGATGTGTCTGGGCGACGGTGAAGTGAGTGAATGTTCATTAGTCTTGTGGTGATGTGCTGTTCTGAACAGCCCGGCTGCTTGGAAGGACTGGTCACTGTACCCTGATACTAAGTAGCGAGGAGCTCATGGTTCGCATAGTCATGATGACCCATCTTGCTCCTCAGGTATGTCCCTCCCGCTACGGCACCGATAGGAAAGCAAGAATATGTGGACTCCATCAACACTGTGAGGGTCGCATGAAGGGTCAATTTAAGGCAACACGT